AGCCACAGTGAGGACCCCCTGAAGAGGAGCCCTGCCCGTGACCCAGGACAGGGCGTGACCACACCAGCGTGTCTCAGCTGCAGCGGGAAGGTGCCCGCAGGTCCCAAAACCATTACTTTCACCTTCATCCCCACTTGGCCAAGCCCAGGAAAGGCACTTTCCACCTCCCAGCACCAGCAAAGCCGAGTGCAAGCAGGAAACTCGCAACAGAAATAAGCCAGAAGGGTTTGCTTTAAAAACAGGCAGGAGGGACACGGCGCTGCTGGCTCTGCCCGGGAGGACACGGCTGTGCTGCCGGTAGCACGGCGCTGAGCCCAGCACCTGCTGCACACCAGCCACCCGTGCGGGAGCAGGAAGGGAGGTGTGAACACTGCGTGGCTGCCTGCACTGCCCCTGCCTCGGCAGGCATTTCCTCCAGGGATCCCAGCACGGGAGGCTTGTGCTCAGGCACGGAGGCTCCTGGTAGGACTGAGTGGGCACATCAAGCATTGGAGAGAGGGACAGCTCGAAGCAGGAGCACTTTGCCTGCACACAGCAGGAAGCAAGGGGTGTCCCAGTCTGGAGCCCCTCGGCCTGTGAGGCAGCATCACTGTCCATCCCACTGCTGGCTCGGGGCGTCCTGCTCCCAGCTGGCCAGGTAGCGGTCGTAGTTCTCCTCGCACCTCCTCAAGCAGCGCAGGAAATAGTCCTCATCGGCGATGGCCTCCAGCAGGTCGGTCTGCACCAGGCAAACGTCGTACAGCTCTGAGGTGGGGGCGCGCCGGGGGCTGCGGCTGCCGCGCTCCGAAAACACCTGCGGGCAGAGAGCAGCGGGAGCAGCCGCCCTCGGGCCGGCAGCGCCGCACGCACCCGCAGCGCCCCGCCCTCCTCCTCGGCCAGGCCACTGGTGGGTGGCAGAGGGCAGGGGCTCCTGTCTCCTCTCTGGTGGTAGAAGATGAAGTTTCTCCAGATTTCTTTGCCCTCCCACGAGGCCCCTTTGGCTCTGAACCAGATCATCACACACATGGCTGGGGCTCCCCTAAGGAACAGGCCACACCAGGCAGCTGGAAGGAAATGGCTCTGCAGAGGGGCCAACCCCAGGGAAGCCTCTGCCAAGAGGTTTTCCTTGGGCTGCCACAGCCTGTCACACAGGGGGGAACAAGGACTGCACCTTCTGATCTTAACCATGGCCCTGCCTAAGCCCACCTGGCAACCTGTTTCCTTCCCAGCACTTCTCTATCACTGTCAATGACACAGGGACAGCCCTGCAGAGCTGGTGGCCTGAGAGAAGGGGAATTGGGCATCCAAGCTACCAATCCTGCCTGCAGGACAGCAAAGTTCTGGCAGCCCTACCGAGCCCTACCGGCAAGATGCTGACCTACCACCTCCTTAACCTGAGGTGGTGTGGGGGGAGCCCTGGGAGGACAAGCCCAGCAGCCCGACTGACCAGCTGTGCCGGCTAGAGATGGTGAAAGGATGAGCTCCTCGATGAGGAGACTGCCCCAGGCTGCCAGGCAGAGCCACGCTCCGGCGGCTGCGGACACGTCGGCAGCAGCTGCTGCAGCAGGGGCCTTGGGCTCTGCCTGCAGAGCCACTCGCATTAATGCGCTGGAACCAGGCACAGCACAGACCAAAGCCTGTTCCTGACAGATCTGCTCTGGGCAGCAGCAAGTCCTGCCACCAGCTACGAGCCAAGAGAGCTCATTTGGAAGCAAATATCCACCAGGCATCTCGCCACTCCCAGCCTGCTCAGCAGACGTTGCAAACCATTCACCAGCTGCCACAGGTTTTCCCATGCTGCAGTGCCTCCTCCCAGATGGAAACGGGCTGGGGTTCAGGCTAACCTGCAGAGCTGCAGCTCTTGTTTGAGCACCAACAGTTGTCCAGCTGCCAGGAACATTTCTGTCTCCATAAATGTTCCTTTTTCTTTGGCTTTCAGCCACCTACCTGCGGATGAACAATAGTGTCTGCATCGTCCAGCCGGATGTTGTCATCAATGAAGATGTGGTGAACATTTGGATCATGGGGGTCAATCCACAGGGGTTTCCCACCCCGGGAACAGAACTGATTTCTGGCCCACCTGAAACAGCCAGAGGGACAAAGAGCAGTCAGAGGAGGGAGGGCACAATAGCTGGTAAGGGCAAGCCAGGCTGCACCGTGGGCAGCCCTGTGAGCTGGCGAAGTGGGATGGATACTGTCCCATCCCTCTGCCTGCTGCTGCCTCTCATGAAAGGGAAGCATTCTGCAACAAGGTGAGAAATCACGGGGTGTTTGGTGAAAAGCAGGAGGTACATCAGGGAATGGAAACCTGAGGAAAGATGCAAAAGCCCCATCAGGCTGCCCATAGGCAAAATGCAGAGGACATAAGTAACAAAGCCCTCAGAACTAGGAGTTATCCCAGACCAGAAGAAGCTCAGAGAACTACAGGAGAGAAAATGCCCAATCCACTTCCTCAGTGCCCTGCTTCTCACCAGTCAAAGTGGTCTTGGAAGCCTCCAATTCCCTCAGAGGAGCTGAAGTAGTCATAAAGCTTTCTTGCACCTTCCCGGGTGCTCAGCCTCTCTGCTCCCCGCGTCAGCACCACCTCCCGCTTGCTGCAGCGGATCTGGCCAGGGGTGAGGTCCACAGGGAGCTGCAGGACAGCAGAAAGCAAGAGAGAAAAGGTTCCCAAAGCAGACAGGTGCTTTTGTCCATTGGCAGAGGCAACAGGCAGCAGGGTGGAGACTCACACCACTATGTGGGAGGATAGTGCTGGAGTGAAGACAAGAAGAAGTGTGGAACCCCCCCCGCTCCCAATGATCACCCCCTCCCTTGGGATGGGAAGGAATGGCCTCCTGGCTGCACACTGCCTCCATTTCAAACCCTCTTCCCTGTCAATGCTCCAAGGAGCAACTGAAGCAGCTTCTGAAGCTCATTCCCAGGTCCCTGCCAGGGGAGAGCACGGCTGCCATCGACTCCAAGCCAGCAAGCCCTGTTCTGCTGCAGCAGCCTGTTTCCAGGAGAAGGGATGTTCTTCCAACCCAGGACACCCTGAGAGGAGACCTTTCCCATGCAGGACCCGCACGCACACCTGCTGTCCCCTGGCTAACAGCTTCTCCCTGTGAAGCTGCCTGTGTTTCCCCTCATAGAAGCGGGATGGCAAGGCATC